AATGTGAGTTAGGGACCTTAGATTGTACGCCCCTTGAGGGTTAGGGACTGATGTTGAATGTACAATATATAGCACTGTCAATTTACGCAGTGCTTTACACATATAAGTACCTGAAATAAATTATCGCACTTATTTACACTTTTTGGATTTTACACGATTTATGATTGATAACATGCATTTATAGCGCTGCACTATTTTTTTTAACGTATTTCTATTCTGGGACTGTTGCCAATACCCTGAGTGCTAGCTGCTACCTTCATATCTATACCTATATTTATATTTATCTTGTCTAATACCATTTTAGTAGTCTATATAATTTGACCAGCGCTCGCTTTATCATTTTTAATCAATGTAACTATTCTACATTGGAGCTCAAACTCTGTCTCCCACAGTAGCTTAGTGGTTAGAACTCAGAACTTACAGCACTTGGGTCATGGGTTCTAATCCCAGTCATGGCTGCATCCCCGTTTGCATGCTTTCCCTGTATGGATGTGTTTCTGCCAACATTCCAAAGACATGCTGTTAGGTTAATTGGGCCTAGTACATGGCTGAGTTTCTGCCCTTAGATTATAAGCTCCTTGACATTTATGAATGTTAAAAAAATAGAGATCAATTTTCTGGGTTGTGTCAGTGACAGGAATATTGATCAATCAATTAAGATTTTGCCTAATGACTAGAAAGTGGAAAGGGGGTGACTCTTACCTGCGTCCTGTTCTTCTGACAAGTTGGAAATGTGCAAGTTTCATGCTGTGTATATTTCATTGTAACTTTTTTTATCTTCTTTTAAACCTGTCTCCTTATACAACTTGACCCTCTCCCCCCACCCCATCATCAACTGTCCCATATGCAAATCTATGGATCACCGCCCCACTCTTTTTAACTATTTATTTACTGATCAAGTGAATGTATCTCATTTTCTATCATCTACAGCTCAGATCTCACATTATTATACGATTTCTGATTGTATCTCACCACTAGTCTGATTGAATTCACAATTCCTGGTCAGTCCCATTCCCTTACCTCTAATAATCTTTAGGGCCAGTTCACACTACATGTGTTTCAGTTGCTTTTTTCGGCATCACAAAGAAGGTTATATGGTTGTCAATGTCATAATTCACATCAGCACTTGCATTTTCAGTGCATTGCAGGTGCTGTAAACAAAGTTGACCACGTTGCATTGTTTATGCACAGAACTGTACTGAAACGCATTGAAACGCCCTTGAATGTACTAAAACGCACATGTACCTAATTAAATTGAATAAAAAGAAAGTAGAAAAAATTAACTGGAAGGGATACAAAAATGCAATACAACGTGTCCAAAACGCATCCAAAATGTACTGGAACACACTAAACATGCATGCCAAAAGGGCATGCAAAAACGCATCAGGAACACATCTAGACTGTTTCTGTAGTGTAAACTGGCCCTTAGGACTTGTTCACACCATTGTTGGTGCAGAAACACATGCAAGAACACACATTTTCCAGCACAGCAAAGAAATGCAATGCCCTTTGCAGATGTGCGCAGGTACCATGATGAAAACGTAATTGCACCTACATACGTATATTAAAAACAGACCCATTCACAGCCACCAAAATGCATGGCACCACACTACTGTCCAGTTAGGTGCAACACACTAAAATAATATGCCTGCCCACATCAGGCAGCCCATTGAAATGAATGAGCTGAGGAAAAAAAAAAAGTAAAAAATGTCCCATTCACACAGGTCCTCTGGCCTGTACAGCATGAATGAGTGGGTTGTTCATGTGGCTAGAGCCACCTGTTACACTATGGGGACACAGCAGCTGTATGAACACAGGTTTTAATCTGACAGGTGTGAAGGCGTGGGGAAGTGGCCCTGAATGCTCACTGTCTGTGTTCAGGGCTTTATTATTATTATGACCTGCAGCATTTCCATAGTGTAACATAGGTTGCCTGCAAATGGCGATAGCCACAAAAACAAACCACTGATTCCCACTCTACAGGCCACAGCACCCATGTGAATGAGCCCCAAAACCTCAATTACAAACAGCTTTATGAACTCAGTACAGTTTTATCATTTAGATTTCAGAGGAATATGGTTGGGATTATGTCCATTAATAATGTTTTTAGTGTATTTTTACCATAAATATAATTTGGATATTTTCTCTGGGGGGCTGTCAGGTATGATGTACGGGGCCCCGTGATATCTAACAGTGGCCCTGGGTGTATGCTTGTGTCTGTGCCACCTGTATAGTTAGGAAGAACCTTGAACCTCTGCTATGTACCTCAATGGATCTAGGAATTGGACATGTTTTCAACTGAAAATACAACAATTATTAGTAATGTTTCCCTGGCAAATGAGGATCAGCTCCTTGGTGGAGAACAGCGATCTCGCCATGTCCAGATGTGGTCTGGAATTCCACAAAAGAACAATTCATAAAGCTCAAAAATAGACTTGCAAATTACCACTAAACTCTCCTAACTACACTCCCATCCACTAACACTCCCCACTACCACTTCCGGGTGTGTGCAAACGTCCTTCCGCAAATGTCATGACATATTTCCGGTATGACAGCTGCTCTAGCACCTCCTCCAACAGCCGTCTTGACGTTTATTTGTGTACCATAGCAATTTTACATGCAGCTCCATTGTGTATATGACATTTGCAAATATATATATTTGCAGTTCTATTATGGATTTGGCATTGATAAATGTATGCTTGCAGCTATACTGTGTATATGACATTGGCAAATATATATTTCCCGGTAAAGGCCCAAAATCAACATAAATTGGGGGCCCAATTTATTACTGTTGAGAGGATTGTAGAAAAAGAATAGCTAGCTGCACATTGAACACGACCTATTCATTGGTACATAACATGGTCTTGTGGTGCAATAGGGGGCTTTTGGTTTGGACATACTTGCATATAGCGCTGTCAATTTACGCAGCGCTTTACATATATGTGGTAAATTCACATCAGTCCCTAACCCTCAAGGGGCGTACTATCTAAGGTCCCTAACTTACATTCATACATATACTAGGGCCAATTTTGACAGGATCCAATTAACCTACCAGCATGTCTTTTGAGTGTGGGAGGAAACCGGAGTACCCGGAGGAAACACAGGCACAGGATTCAAACCAACGACCCTAGTACTGCCAGGTGGAAGTGCTAACCATTCAGCCACTGTGCTACATTCAACTAGAACATGAAAAATAATCCCCCCAAAAAATACATAGTCCAAATGTTTATTGATCAAGTACACATTCCACATTTATTTGGACAGCAACAACAAGTAGGTACATTCAATATCTTGGTGAGAAAAAAAAAAAAACAGGATTGATGTTGCTAAAATAGAATGGTCCTGCTCATAAGAGCTTACAATTTAAAAGATTATACTTCTAATGAACTGTGCTTTCACAGGTTACAGCAGGAAACAAACAGTTAATATGAATCACTTAGGCTTATCCACAAAACAAGCTGCAGATCAAAATATCAATATAAAAAATACATACCTGCCAAAATAAAAACACCTCCCACCTCCCCACATATATTTCTCATCAGGTTTGTCTGAAAACTGCATTTCATTCTAACTAAAGCAAACTTGGAAGAGCAGAGCAATTGACATGTGTTAGGAATACAAAGCAAAGATAATAAACACACAATCATTGTACAATAACACACAAACACACCTTAGAAGGAAGAACATGCAAAACATTTACAGCCCACATCCAAAACACAGCGTGAGTGTGGCCTGGGGCAATTCACCACAATATCTCTTCCTCCCCCGCAAACCACCACAGAGAAGGACTGTCAGGAATGGACTTGCAATAGTGGTGGGACTCACCTGCCTTGTGGGCTGCAGTACCAGGGCTGGCCAGCGGGTGCTCTCAACAACCAGAGGCTCACTTCGGCAATTAGCCATCACCTGGGGCTGATTGCAGGTGGTGTAATTAACGGATGGCCAGACCTGCAGTCAGTGCCTTGTTGTACTGTTTGCTTGGCCCTGGTTTTCCTGATCCTGTCTGCCTGTCCTGACTGCCTGTCCTGACGCTGCCTGTACTGACCTCGGCTAGTCCTGACCACTCTCCCGCCTGCTCCTGGTACTCCGTTTGCCCATTTGCTATGACCCTGTTGTTATCTGTTGGAGGTTTGGTTCAGTTTGTTTGCACTGTGTTATGTTTAGTTTTGCACTGCGTTTCTATTGTTAGTCAATAAATTATATTATTTACTATATCTGAAACCTGCGTTTCCCTGTGTCAGTCCACACACTTCTGGTCATACCCGCATCCCTGACATTACAACAAGGCCATCCTGACCAGAAGTGGCTGCACAGGGAAGCCATCTTGGCTTGTTGCTTGAAGGAAGGATGGATCTTGATGAGGTTGTGTATTTGTCGCTGCTGGTTTTTGATGACAGAGAATATGCTTATCAGACTCTGAGGGAGTATCCCAGGGATCAACTGCTAGAATGTATACGGGTCGCTCATGTTCTAGTAGATCAGGGCACAGAGTTCTCTGAGGTCAACCTTTGATTCAGGTTTGTGCAGAGTTGGCTTCATCTGGTACCCCTGAAAGTAGGAATGATTTTTTGCCACCATTTAGTGCAGACCAGGTAGAGTCCCTGGTATGCTTATTAGAGGATGATGTGGATTGCTTCTTGGAGCATTATGCTGTATGTTCACCACAGGTATTAAGGGATTGTATAAACGCAGTGCAGTCTTTGACCAGACAGGCTTTGTGTAAGCTGAGCTTTGTTCAACCCATACTGCAGACATGGTCAGACTTGTTGCACCCAGCCTCAGTCAGCTTACAACGTCATTCCTCCGCTCAAGGCACTCTTCCTGCATCCCCGACAGCACCCCCAGTGACGGCCCAGTATACTCTGCTAACTACCACATATCAGCCCTCTGCTCTCACTCGCTGCACCTATCCTGCCTTTAACCCTGTAAAGTCCTCTGTAGCAACTGCTCCCTCCTCTGTTCCATCCTCCAGCTCTTCTCTGTCTTCAGCTGCTCCATCCGTTTACAAACCTGCGCTTACTTACAGTGCTCCAGTAACTAAAACCAGGAAAAGGCGAAAATTCTTTCCAACCAATACCATCCTGCCAGTATCCAAACCGGTCAGCCTGCCATCTGAGAACCCGCCTTCCGTGGTGCAGCCTGGTGCCTCGGCGCCCACAATTCAGCCTGATGCCTCTACCCAGCCTGATGCCTCTACCCAGCCTGATGCCTCTACCCAGCCTGATGATCCTATTATGCCAGGTGACTCGGTGCCCACTGCCTTGCCAGATGACTCTGTGCCCGCTGTCGTGCCTGGTGACCCAATGCCCGCTGTTGAGCCAGATGACTTGGTGCCCGCGGTCGAGCAAGAAGCAAGACGATCCAATGTCTGATGACCCAGTGCCCGCTGTTGTACCTGGTGACCCGATATACCCCCCTGTCGAACCAGATGGCCCGGTGCCTGCCGCCCCGCCTGGGGGCCCAGTGCCTGCCGCTCTGCCTGGTTTCCCGGCACCCGCCGCCCCCGCCTGGGGGCCCGGCGCCCCGCCTGGGGGGCCCCGCCCCGCCTGGGGGCCCGGCACCCCGCCTGGTTGCCTGCCGCCCCGCCTGGGGGCCCGGCGCCCCGCCCTGGGGGCCCGGCGCCCGCCGCCCGCCTGGGGGCCCGGCGCCGGGTGCCCGCTGCCCTGCCTGGTGGCCCTGTGCCCGCTGCCCCGCCTGGTCGTCCTGTGCCCGCTGCTCCGCCTGGGTCGTCCAGTGTCCAGCCCGAAGTGCCTCCGTCCGGTGTCCAGCCCGAAGTGCCTCCGTCCGGTGTCCAGCCCGAAGTGCCTCCGTCCGGTGTCCAGCCCGAAGTGCCTCCGTCCGGTGTCCAGCCCGAAGTGCCTCCGTCCGGTGTCCAGCCCGAAGTGCCTCCGTCCGGTGTCCAGCCCGAAGTGCCTCCGTCTGGTGTCCAGCCCGATGTGCCAGTCGTTGATATCCCGCCAGTCACCGGACCTGGGCGGTGGAACATTTTGCCCAGCTAGGACTGTTTGGAGTGTCCTGAGGCCGCTCCTTGAGGGGGGGGGGTACTGTCAGGAATGGACTTGCAATAGTGGTGGGACTCACCTGCCTTGTGGGCTGCAGTACCAGGGCTGGCCAGCGGGTGCTCTCAACAACCAGAGGCTCACTTCGGCAATTAGCCATCACCTGGGGCTGATTGCAGGTGGTGTAATTAACGGATGGCCAGACCTGCAGTCAGTGCCTTGTAACTTGTTGTACTGTTTGCTTGGCCCTGGTTTCCTGATCCTGTTTCTGCCTGTCCTGACGCTGCCTGTACTGACCTCGGCTAGTCCTGACCACTCTCCCGCCTGCTCCTGGTACTCCGTTTGCCCATTTGCTATGACCCGGCCTGCCTGACTACTCTTGTATCGTATGTTTGTTATCTGTTGGAGGTTTGGTTCAGTTTGTTTGCACTGTGTTATGTTTAGTTTTGCACTGCGTTTGTATTGTTAGTCAATAACTTATATTATTTACTATATCTGAAACCTGCGTTTCCCTGTGTTAGTCCACACACTTCTGGTCATACCCGCATCCCTGACAAGGACTTACAGAAAATAATGTGGCCTGTACAAGGCAAAATCACCCACTACTGCATCTCTTTATATAAGGTAGGCCACACCCACCACTGTCATTCATTTGGTCAGAGAAAGTGTTTGCACCTGATTAATTCTCTTCCCACCTGCGTTAACCCTTGGTATACAGGCCCCACAAATCAGAGTCAGAAAGAAAGCCACAGTGAAGTGTACCTGTGCAGCATACAACAGAACACTGAACAGGGATGTGAAAGGGAACCCTATTGGCAATATTTCTTGGCCCTATGGGCACAATTCACTCCAGATTAGCGCATGAGTTAAGGTAGTCACATGACCACATCTCGCATGCAATACTGAAACTGTCAATTCACTTTTCAGTATGCAGCATTTCCCATAAATCGGAAAAAACACTCAGGAAATCAAACCTAAAAAGGCATTACACCCCGGTCACATCAAAGCCGATTTAGAAATTGTGCGACGTACAGGAAGATGCTGATTTCCTTGTGATTTGCAAGACATCTGACACAGATATCTATGCAAATTGACACAAAAGTAGTACATGTACTACTTTAGAAATCAGTGTCGGAAACGCACCCATGTGACTGCTCTAATAGCAGACAATAGGGTACGACTTGGCATATGATTTGCAAGTCGCATCCAGAGTGCACGATTTCAGGTGCGATTTGGGAATTGAAATTGTACCTGATATCGGATCTAATGAATGTGAGTGTCTTAACGTAAGCAATTTGCTACAGCACAATTTCAAAAGTAGTTCTTGTCTAACTTTTACAGCATTTTGTAGCGATTTCACATATAGACTACAATAGAAATCACAATGCAAAACACAATTGAAAATGCAATAACTCATTGGTAAATCTACAGAAAACACAGTGAAATTGCCAACAAAAAGCACAAATCGCATCTAGTGTGAACCAAGCAGGCAATTCAACAAAGGAAATAAATCTTTGAAGGCATTCGGTATCTGCATGCTCGGATAAGGGTCTGTTAAGGATTTGGGGGGGACTCCATGCCATTATTTTATTTTTTTTATTTTTTTTCCCACAACTTTAAAGGTGTTTGAATAGACAAGGCCTCATTCTAATTCACATTCCAGGGATCATTTAGACAGAAAGCAAAGATTGTGCCACCAGCACATGTATATTAGGGTAGTCACACGGAGATCATGCAAATTCATTGCCGTGGTTGGGATTCAAACTGTTGAACACTAATCCCGCCTGTATTTCTGTGGTGTGAATCAACCCTAAGTCCCTGGGCAAGGTCAGTGTAACTAGCCAGATATCTCCAATGTGACACAAATGTTGTGCTATGTTGCCAATTCAGATGTATGTTGGTTCTATGTATCCCAATACAAAGGATTGCAATACTAATACAGGTGTACCTCAGTTTACCAACGCCTCAGTTAATGTAATTTTCGGTTTACAAATGAAAATCCATTGAAAATAATGCCTCGGTTTACACAATTGTTAATAATTTTTTTTTTCGCAGTACAAAGTGTATGTCGGCGCTGATTTTCAAATGCAAATGCCAGCATTTTTTTTTTCTTCACTATAGTTCACAAGCTTAGAAGTCACTTTCCCCAAAGTTACAGAAAACTTTGTATCTTTTAATAAACTCAAAGTAAACATGTTTCCATTAGGGATATAAATTCCAAGAAAACTTTCTCTTTTAGCTGGGGGAAGTGACAGGTGAATTTCTGAGCTATAGGGAAGGAAAAAAAAGGGAGAATTACATTTAAAAACCAGCACCATAAATAAATAAAAAAAGGACATGGGGTCCCCCCCCCCCTCCCATCCACACCAAGCCCTTCGGGTCTGGTATGTATCTTAAGGGGTAACTCCACACCAAACGGTAAAAAAAAAAACGGCGTGGGGTCCCATCCACACCAAGCCCTTCGGGTCTGGCATGGATATTAAGGGGTAACTCCATGCCGAAATTGAAAAAAAAAACCTGCATGTGGTCCCCCCCCCAAAATCCATACCAGATTCTTATCCGAGCATGCAGCCTGGCAAGTCAGGAAGGGGGGGGGGGGGGGGACGAGCGAGCGCCCCCCCCCTCCTGATTTTGTTTATCGGTAAATTTGTAAAAAAAATCGGCCGATTTTGCTGATTGGCCAATTTTCGTGGCAATGATCGTCAAAATGGGCAGATTTTTTTCCAAATTTACTGATAAAAAAATGTGCCAAAATCCCAAAAAAAAAACGTCCGATCAATTAACACACTAACGGCCCAAAAATCGGCCGATTTTTCAGCCGATTTTTTGGCCTGCTTTAGATTGGTCTAAAATCGGCTGATTTTCGAGCCGTAAGTGGGTTAATTGGTCAGCCGGTTTTTTTGGGATTTTGGCACTTTTTTTTTAATCGGTAAATTTGGATAAAAATCGGCCTATTTTCGGGCCGTTAGTGGGTTAATTGGTCGGCCCGTTTATTGGGATTTTGGCCCTTTTTTTTTTTTTATCGGTAATGTAGGCCATAGATGGATCGAAAATCGGCCGATTTTTCAGCCGATTTTCGCACCGTTAACGGGTTAATTGGTTGGACGTTTTTCTGGATTTTGTCAGTTTTTTTTGATCGGTAAAGTTGGAAAAAAATCGTCCGATTTTTTTTTTTTTTTTCTTACCGATACAAAATCTGCGCATGAGCCGTGACCTGCAAGAAAAAGAAGAGGAAAAAAAATAAAAGGAGGAGGAGGAGCCGTGACCTGCAAGAAAAAAAAAGAAGAAAAAAAATAAAGAAGAAAAGGTGGAGGAGGAGGAGCCGTGACCTGCAAGAAAAAGAAGGAAAAAAAATAAAAAGAAGAGGAGGAGGAGGAATTCCAGTCCGCTATTATATTTGACATTAAAAAGTATTGCGGTTGCAACAATGTATCTATTTGTATCCGGGAAAAAAAGCATCTGTATCCGAAATGGATACAAATAGATACAATGTTGCAACCGCAATACTTTTTAATGTCAAATATAATAGCGGGGCTCTCTGCAGGGACAGAAGTAATTAAATGCCGGCCGTAGACAGGAAGAAAATCGTCCGCTTTTTTTTTTTTTTTTTTTTTTTTTTTTTTACTGTTGGTGGTAACGTCGGCCGATTTTTCACAGCAATGATCGGCAAATCGGCCGATCTTTTTACCAATAAAAAAATCTGCACATGAGCCGTGACCTGCAAGAAAAAGAAGAAAAAAAAAAATGCAGGCCATAGACGGGGCAAAAACTGGACATTTAAAAAAAAAACAAAAAAAAAAAAAAAAAAAAACCAAAAAAAAAAAACCCCCAAAAAAAAAAAACGGCCGATTTCCACCCCGTCTACGGCTGGCAAATATAATAGCAAAGTAATTACTTCTGTCCCTGCAGAGAGCTGTGCTATTATATTTGACATTAAAAAGTATAGAGGTTGCAATATTGTATCTATTTGTATCCGAATAAAAATATCTATATCCGAAATGGATACAAATAGATACAATGTTGCAACCTCTATACTTTTTTAATGTCAAATATAATAGCGGAGCTCTCTGCAGGGACAGAAGTAATGTTTCAGCTGTCAGTGGGGTTCCCCACTGACAGCTGAATTTTAAATAATTTCCGTGAATTAAATAAATAATGAACAAACAGCGTGGGGTCCCCCCTCCCATCCATACCAACCCCTTCGGGTCTGGTATGGATATTAAGGGGTAACTCCATGCCAAAATGTAAAAAACAATGGCGTGGAGTCCCCCCTAAAATCCATACCAGACCCTTATCCGAGCATGCAGCCCGGCAGGACAGGAAAGGGGGGGGCAAGCGAG